GGTCTAGGATGGATCAGTTTAATTAATCGAGGATTGCTCTCGTTTTGCTTTCATCACCCCTATCAATAATCTAAAAACATGCGCCGCCTTTTCAACCAATTGGATTCAAAGCTAAAACCAAGTGCTGTCATCAATTTTTTTTCCTTTTAATTGGTTGTTGAGGTTACTTTGGCTTGGGGTGGAGAAATCGTAATCAAAAGGCACGCTAGATACGTTGGCACCAATTCAAATTTCAAATTAAGAAGAAGGTTGGCCACCAACAGGTTTCTGTTTCACAATTTAACAGAAAAATAGAGAAAAATAATTTAATAAAGCTCCATCCAAAACAATTTCGCGGACTGGCACAGCTGTCTGAGCTGTAAGTATTTTATGTATGATTCGAGTTTTTTATGGGTCTGGTTTCTGCATGTAGGCTGACTTTGACAGACTTTTTTCTCATCGCAATATCCTGCAGAAAACGCTGAACCGATCACGTTTTCCATATTTAAGAAAATTTAAGGCCCTGTGTCACAACTTCCCCATGTTTTTCCTGAATGGATAATATAAATGTATGCGGAGGGTCTGTGGAGATTGCTGGAAAACCTATAAGCCGGGTTAGATATAATGTAGACAAATTTTCAGTAACAACTTGTTCATGAAGTTCCTGCAACGACGATGCTCCTCTCGAAAAGTCAAAAACTGAAAAAGTGTATGTGATTACATTTAAAATGTTTGTAAATTTTCTTCCCACTCATGAAAAATGTCATCGATGTCCCGTTCTTTAATTCCTGAAGTTCGCCATACATTTTATTTTCTTCCTTTCCTCATTAGCTATCTATCGGGAAACAAACTCAGAAATTTGCCACAAGAAATTTTCAAAGGCTTACAGCAGCTTCTGATTCTGTAAGTAGAATATGAAATTCATTTTTTGCTTAATTTGATCGAGGTGGTATCTCAGTATCTTCTAATAATCACACTTATCAGTTTGAGATGCACAAATCAATGCCCAAAAATTATGTGTATTTTAAATTTTTTTTTCTGTAAGAGAACTCTTTGACAACGAATTGAAGAACGTTTCCATCGACAACTTCAGAGAAATCAGACAGTTAAAAATTCTGTGAGTGTTTAATTTTCATAAATGATAAAATGAGAATCAGATTATGAAAGACACTGACTGCCATCAAAGGTTCAGTCAAGAAAATAAAAAAGGACAAATCGATACGCTAAGTTTGAAGCAACACTCCGGAAATGCTCTTCTATCCACTGATTTCATCCTTATACTCTTGTCTTTAAATATCTATATTTTCAGATTTTTACATTATAACCACATGAGGGAGATTCCCTACGGATTTTTTGAAGAGTTGAAGGATATATTACGAGTGTAAGATTTTGATCTGATTTATTTGATACGTTTACAATTTATTAGCAGAGCTAATTCAAATGTTTGCTAGCACAGAGCTTCAGGCAAATGAGTTAGTGGTTTCTATGCTTTACTAAATATCTATGGTTGGCTTTCTTAACCCAATTGACGACTTTTATAACAACCCCATTTTGTTGGGTAACAAGCCTCACAAAGACTGCTATTACACACTACATTGTTTTATGATATCAAAAGAAAAATTTTCGAACATATTCAATGAAGATTCATAGTAGCAAAAACCCCCATATGAGGAAATGAATTCTGATTGACTGATCTCACGTTACCTTTGCGCTCTTAGGGTATAGGCTTTTGGTTTTATCTTTTACTCTATCCTTACGGACTGAATAGCATCAAATTTTACGGTTGCAGGAGTTTGGACACAAACCTGATGTGTTGTCATATGCACAAGGAGGACGCTGACTGTGCTTTCATTGATAACGACGACTTTGCCAACTGTGAAAACATGTTCAAGAACCCAATCCCGAGGAAGAGCATATGGGCAATCGGCTCCCTTTCCCTGGCTGGGTCGGTGTTTGTCATCACATGGCGTTCAGTCTTTAAGGATACAAACACGGTACAATCAATCATGTTGTTGCACTTGGCAGTCTTTGATGGTTTAATGGGAGCATACCTAATCACACTTGGTGTTAAAGATCTGTTGTGGAGAGGAGAGTATTACTTACATGACTTCCAGTGGCGGTCCAGTTTGGCTTGCCAGATAACTGGTGCCACCTCTTTGCTATCCAGTGAGTTCTCCTTGATGCTGATGGCTTTGATATCTGCAGACCGACTCAAGAACATTGTGTTCCCGTTCAGAGGTGGAGCACTTTCGCGGAATATGACCCACATCCTTTGCGCCATCATATGGCTCGTCGGCTTCCTCCTGGCTTTCTTTCCGA